GGTGTCTGGAAGCGACCACTCACCATGTTAAGTTTCTCAGGTTAAAATTGACAGAAAACAGGGGAGCGTATTAGGTTCATTGCTTCCACACACTCTCCCACACACTCCTAATGAGGTGGAATAGAATGAAAAAAGTCAGATTAGCTGCTCTTGGCTCAGGGGCAGACAAAGTTTCCACTGTCCTTTTTTATTTGTCTGTTTGTTTGCCATGTTAAAACGATGGAAGCCTGGAAAGAAGGGAGTGGCTAAAAATATTTGTTGGGAAAGTCAATGAAAGTCCAATACTTTTCAATCAGCACATGTTTGCTGAGCACTTTGCCAAGCTTCAAAATAGAGTGATGAAAAAGCACTAGATGCAGTCGCTCTGTGCTGGGATTACACTTTATGAACCTTATACATACATTTCAGCTACAGCACACTGCTGTCACCACCACTGGGTTTTCAATTATGGTTGTTGTTTTACTGATTCACTCACCGGGTCTGTAATTTGTAGGACACAAAAGATTTTCAGCCCAAAAGTAAAATGTTTCCAGGTAATACTGACCAATATTCAGCTGAATGGATTTTGACAGTTCCAAATTGTTTCACTTGTGGAGATGGTAAAATCCTCACAAAAAACAATTACAGACACATCATGAACCGTGTGTCTGCACTAATCCATAACAAGGATTATTAAGCAAAACATTACAAAACCAACAAACTATGTTTCAGGGCTGTCAGAATTAAAGCCGTAATCGTTAATACTGTTAATTAATTTGTGAGTTGAATGACGCACTCGATTTATGCAATCCATCAACTTTCTTATTCTATTACACAGTTGATACATGTGTGTTATTTACACACTGCAGGAAACATTTTGTTTCACCAAAGCACCGTAAGGTTAAAACACCAGTTCATTGCTCATCGTGGGTTTGCAGAGGCTTCAGGTGACGATGATTTTAATCACGTTTAGGAATGATGATTTATCTAGTCACGATTAATTGTGATTAATCCACAGTTACCTGGGTATTAATCAGATTAAAAATGAAAAATGACTCCCTGCATTCACACAAAACCACTCTTTCGGCTTCTTTAGGTGCTAAGTCTGAAAGAAAAAAATACTATTTTGTCTGATCTGGTTTCCTGATTTCTGTGGATGACAGGAAAAAGCCATTCACAAATCCTGTTGAGTCAAGGTTTCCCGCAACCGGAGTACAACATCCTATACACATGATGACTACACTCTTTGTATTGATCAAGTCGAAGGTAGACATGACGACTTTGTCCACTTATAACTCGACTGAGGGGATTTCTAAGCTCAGTCATAAAGCAAGTGTGACAAATGTGTAGAAAAAGTCAATCTTTACGTTGCTCTTGATTACAGTCCGTGGTAAAGCACTCCGCTCATTATTGGTATCTCAATGGATGTTGATATCGAACGGTCGTCAGCGCACAGTGTTAATCAAACCCCTGCTGAATGCTAAATGATTTTTCAGGAGTTTGTTTGAGGAAATGAATATTTGCTAGGCTTTATGGGACGTGGGTGGGGGTGGAGGGTGAGGGTGAGGCGGCTGAGGAGTTGAATTAGCCAGTTTCCCTGCATGCTGGCCTGGGATCAGGGCATCGAGTCTGAGAAACCTGGTCTGTTGTTTAATTAGGACATACTTCTCTAGGGTGGGGGGGTGCTCCCTCTCATTGTGTGGAGACAAATGCTGTCTGATAGTGAAATAGAGAGAGCGATAATGCTTGTCTTTTTTCATCAAGGTTGATCGCGTTAGCTGCCGTGTTTGTGTTGCTGTCAGCAGATTGGTGTCTGACCTCGCTGTGCACAAAACAGAGAGAGTCTGCCTTCACTGTGCATTAAACATACTAATGAGGGAGCCGGCCTAGCACAGGTGTAAGAGGCGGTGCGGAAATCAGGGCTGTAGTCAAATCTGAATGGATTATGTCTCTGTGTTTGTTCTGTAAACTCTAGGATCCCTCTGTTTGGTGTTTGTGTTTTTCCTCATGTTAACTCCCGCATTTTCATGCCAGCGCCATCTGCAGTCCATGACTTTTTCCAAACAATACACATTTGTGAAGCCAGTAAAATTGATGATATTTAAAAAATTACCATAAAAAAGTATATTACAACCACAAAAAATGGAAGATTGACAGGCTGAGATAAGCTGAGTGCAAAAGAATAAAATAAATGTAAACAGAAAAATAAAGTCAGGTGATGTTTGAAGATCTTAATCTTAATCCTAATAATACAAAAATAGTTGATATATAATATTAACCATGCAACAAGCAAACATTTGTATATAGTACCACATGACATCTATTGCGACCTATTGACCTACTTTGCAAAATGTGGCCAATGTAAATCCAGACGGGGGGGAGGGGGGGATCAACACCGTACGTCACAAACTAAATTCCTTTGATCTGCATTTCATTGGTTTAATTTCCACCAATGGTTCCAGCATTGGTGCATTATTCTGATCTATTTCCATAACCCCCCCACCCCACTCCACTGGGAGCATTTACCACCCTGCGCTCATCTGGCAGCTCCTCTGGTTCTCCTCTCAGCTGACGAGGACTGGCAGCACCTGTCTAACCCAATTACACCTGACAGGGTCTGACCTACTGGGCTGGGTTAACTGGCTGCTGGCTGACTCCTTGACCTCTGTCACATAGTCTGCTTCACCAGGGGCCCATAGAAACATGTGGCAGCATTAAACATAACCCCTTAAGCCATTAACGCCAATGTTCATTGTGTTTTTTTTTTTTTTTACTGATGTCAGAATTAACCATTTAATTGGTTAATTAATTTGTGAGTTTTTTTTCAAGCAACTGATAAAAAAAATCAATAGACTTACTGTCATTTAGACACACTGGGAAAATGTTTTTGTGCAACTGACAAGCTGAGAAAATGACCAAATCCATCCATCTAAATTAATTATGATTAATAGTGACTAATTATGATTAATCAATTAGAAATTAAATTAATTTGTCAGCCTTTTTTTTGTTGAGACAGGGTTGTATTAAACAAGTCATTTTCTCCTAAAGTTTAAAGCTGACCATCCCTACGCGTCGAGACAGACCCATTCCTTACCTCTGCTGCTCCCTGCTCCGACACCTGGTCGTATACAACAACCTGTCAGTCTTTCTATTAGGCCCTTAAGCCTTTTAAAGAAAATCAAAGACCCATTAACAGCGATCTGACACCGGACAACAACTCGCACTAATCCTTCCCTGAACTCTGACCTGGGCCGCCCTCACTCTCTGCCTTCACCACAGCTTTATGTGTTTCTTGCTAAACAAACAACAACACACAATCGTTCCTCACAGTCCGAAAAACACTTAAGAGATCAATGCTCTAAGAGTGATAATCTCCCTCCTGATAGAGAGTGACTACTTCAGGGA